AAATCCTAATAAATATGGTCAACCAAGAGGCAGGCAATAAGCAGTTTTCAGCCATAGTCGGTAGAATTAGAAGGACGGATCTAAGGAAGTGGCGCATCAAATTCAACCATATTTTAAAAGAAAAAATTATTGTGCAAATTAGATAGCCAACTATAACCTTACTATGAACGACAACGAGTTTCTTATTCTTCCCAGTCTTAGTTGAATGATTTAAATTTCATGTTAGATTACCTTAATATTTTTCTTATGGTCTTCTTTGGGCCTTTAACCCTATTTTGTACTAAAAGGAAGAAAAAAAAGTTAGAGGATTTCTTAATTCACTCTTTATGTTTCTTATCCACCATGCAAAATTACTTAATGTCCATAGTTTCTGGAGATGCATTTTCGGACACACGAAATTCTAAATGAATGTTGAAATATTCTGGAGATGCGTCTCCATGGCAGTTTAAAACATACAATACATCACAAGTAGAAGCCATTATACACTTAAATTGAACCGGAGATGCATCTCTGTGAATATTCCGAAGATACATCTTTGTAACGTATCAGAACTTGGTCTTTCGTATTATATTTTGTTTATCTGTATTCAGATGAAAATTTAAACTATACCATACAATTGAGAATAAAAAATCTACGTACATAATTTCAGATGGTCCAAAAATGTCATACATAAATAAAATACCAATAAATATCGAAAATGCCATATAATCGAGATCAATACAGTAACATGATATCAAAATAAGATATAAACCATAGTACTACTACTATAAATTAAGACATTATTGTGTATGTTTGACTACCTCTCCTCTACCTCATCTTCCTCTACCTCATATTCCTCTTGTGTCTCGTCTACTTCATCGACCTCCAACCCCCTATCCTTCGGCAATGTCTCTGGTACAAAAATGCCCTTTGTGCCTCTTTCATGATGGCATCTTGGACCTGCCTCACATTAGACCCATCAGGGAAGATACTTCTGTTAATGCCTGCCTGCGAAATCTCCATCATGCAACAACATCTAGGTAAGACATCCTTAGCATGATCTAAATGTGTCTACTCCTCCTTTAGTATATCCTGATGAGATGGCCTCGATGGATATCCTGGAGTAGCATGCACCAAGTAAGGATGTGATACCCTGAAGAACCATCTGATGTACCCTTCGACATAGCTCCAGTCGCTCTCAGCTATGGTATCATGTGCCTCCTCCGGTACCAGATGACTATCATAATCATCAAACATGTCAACTATCTATCTATGTGTCAAGGCAGGAGGAGTAGAGACAACATGGTATCTAAAAATGGTCTGAGTGTAACTAAACTACCACATGACGCACTCGGGCAGATGAGGAGCAGTGATACGCGATCTGCAAGCCTACCATCCAAAGTATAACACTATCTTGTAAAATGGTCGTGTCTCACAGTATTCAACATAGCTGTTGAAGTGCATGTCCTTTGCAACCAAATGGTCAAGATAGACTTTGTAAGGCTCAGTTGCCTGGTTTCCTCTAAGCAAGATAAAAGCAGTAGCACACGACATATCGTCAATATAAGACAGTACACTCGCCCAACCAAAGATGCGCGGAAAGTGCTGGAGGATCCAAGCCTGAAATGAAAAGTTTAGAACACATGAATCATTAATAATAGCTTTGTAAAGATGAAATGAAAATGACAAAGAAACATTCAAAGACTGATAATTATTATTGTTAGTAGTTTGACACTGCCTCTGACCTGCTTCATCTTCCATATACATTCCTCTCTCAAATTCGAGTACATGTAGACCAAACAAGCGGCCCCCTAGTTGTACTCATGGATCTGCTCGAAGTTCACAAAGTACCGTAGGTAGACGACGTCTGCATAAGTGGCACTCTTGTCCATAAAAATTGTAGTGCCATCCAAATATAGCAAGTATGATCTCATAGCATATGATGTATGGAGCGCCACCTACTCATCATCACCTTTAGCTTGTTGTTCTGTCAGGATCTCAGCCTCATATATCTTCTTCAGATACTCAAATCTAGCATGAGCACCTGATAACACTAAATTATACTATGTATTTGACTCAAATTGCACATGTTTCTTAGGATTTTATTGTTGTTTTATTGTGTTATGCTTTTGTTTTGTTTCGCTTTTAGGGTTTTGTACTCCCAGAGCTCCTCGAGAAGAAAGGAAGAAAAACGGGCAAGAAAGACCAGTTTTTGAGGAAATTGTACACATGACATCTACCATGGCGGGCGCCATAGGGTAGGCTATGACTTGGATAAGAGTCCAACTACTGTCAACTGCCACGACCCTCACTTCTTTCTCCTCTGGTTCACATGGCGGGCGCCATGAGTATATGGCGGGCGCCACCCTTATATTATATTTTCCCTCCCAAAAGAAGTTGGGGGGCACTTTAGTCTTTCCATGTATTTTTGCTAGGCAATAAAAATATGAGTTCTTGTTCATTTCTAATCATCCAAGCTTAGTTACAGAACTCAAGCCATATATTTTCAGTACTGTAAAGTGATAAACTTCTCACATTGGGAAGTTATCGCATTGTCCGATCGAGTCTGTAATCGAGTTTGGAGCACTCTGGTGAAAGTTAATCATGCCGCTATTTTCTTTCCAGTCTTTTATTTCCAGTTGTACTAGATTTAAAACCTCCCGTTTGGTTTGCACTTCATTTCTGTTGGGTAAGATCGAAATTCGTCCAACCTTTGGTTAAACTTGGTTAGTCTTAACTGTTCAAAAGAAGCGAAAGCGCTTTGTCCAGTTAAGTAGGAGTTTTTAATGCTTTAGAAAAACGATTTTAAAACTATTTTCGGACGCGTTATGGGTTTAAAGTTCGGTTTGCACGAACCTCTTTTTGTTAAAAGTTCCAGGTCAAAATACTTTTCAACTGAGTCAAGAAACTATATTTCTTAAAAATAGGTTTATTACTTTAACGCAATGCGTGTCTTTTTTTATAAAGGACAATAAGAGGGTTCGATTAAGGGATAAACTCGGTTCTGAATACGCGAAAGCGACAGTTCCTGTTAAATTAGTTCTTTTCACAAGTAGAAAATATTACCCCATTAGAAGTTCTATTTATACATATTTGGAATACTACCCAGCTATGTGAATTATATTCAAGCCTGTTGTTTTAATTTGAATTTTATTTTCATACTTTACTTTTACTTCGCTCGCACGAACTCCCAATTAATTTGCCTTAGATAAATACCGTAACAATAGAAATTGATAGATTGACGTTTGATCTCTGTGGGATCAATAATCTTTTATATTACTCTGACGCTATTCGTATACTTGCGAAAATAGAGCATCAACACCCCTGGTCTTATCCAACTCCTCATGGTCCCCCTGGATCATCCCTCATATACTCTACCATCATCTTGAGTGCCTCGTCTTTGGTCATTCTCAAATGATCTAGGAATCTCTCCTTGATCGGAAGATGTAGCAAATACGAGACATAATCGAGTGTGATAGACATCTCACCATGCAGGAGATAAAATGACAAGGTCTCTGAGTGCCATCTTTCAACGAATACATTAAGCATCTTGTGGTTGACCGTAGTATAACTGGTCATGCACAAGTCCTTTAGGCCAGATAAATACAAAGTTAACTGTTATCAATCCTCATTCGACTGAGGCAAGGTAACCATCTTCTATCTATGGTTAAGAAACTTTTGCGGATCACACTCCTGAAAAAAATTCAATGTCAGAAATTTGTCAATTAAAATTAACGTAAGACAAATAATTATTCCAACTAATGCTAAATCTCAGTCCCAGATATGTCTAGAACCTGACGCTTGCTGGAGGAAGGATGAGATTGGATCAGCATCATCTACAGTAGGATGTGACACTAGTGAAACCTGACACCCTCTGGAGGAAGGATGAAGTGATGCTTCAGATGGTGAATCTCGTCTCATACGGGAAGAAGAAGATGGAGTGACATGAGGAGAAACACAAGCCCCAAGAATAGATGGCTCTACATGACCAGAGGAACCAGGAGCCTCCAGAACCTACTGACTTTTCTCCTGCCGCACTGATGCGTGTTGAGCAACACTCTTGTGTCTCAGTTTTCCTGTCTATCAGCAATTATGCCTGTAAGTTAAAATAAAGTAGACTGTTAGTGGAGACAAACAACACAAACAAGAAAATAAAATTAAAAAAAAAACATCAGAAAATTCTGGAGGTGCATCTCTGAAATTTGGAAAACTAAAACTTTAAAAAATTATGGAGATGCATCTCCGAAATTTCCTACAACTCAAAAGTTGTGTCAATGGCATTAATGTACCTCATGCAATCTTAGAAAAACTTGTTTTCATCATCATTTTCAGCTAACAAACGTCTAATACACTATGTCTAAACTATCTTAAATGCTATTTCTACTCGTTTTTAATTTTAATAATTGATTTCTACTCATATACATAAGAACTCACAAATTTGTCGAAAGTTTAAAAAACTTACAAGAAATTGATATTTCAGATGTTGTTTCTGATGTTAAAGATGATGATTGAAGTTCTGTTAACCTTTAATGATTGAGTTTTGAATTGGTGCATAGAAAAAATTAAAAAAGTTTGAAGATTAATTTGAATAAAATAAAAAATAAAAAAGATTTGACGCATTACGTACAAATATATTTTCAAACATATCATTAGTAAATTTCATAATCCATCTATCCGCAATGTCTTTCATGTCATCCTCCTTTGATATTAGAAAAAATTATATCATAATAACACACAATTGGAAATGATTATGAAATTGTAATTACAACAAAATATATAATAGAACACAATAACAATATAGATAATTTATAAAATTATTTAACCAAGAAAAAAAGAAAAACCTCAAACAAAACCAAAAAGGTAGTAAAAGAAAATGAAAGAGCTTTGGTAGCGTTAATGAAAGGATGTTATTTTGGTTGGTTGAGTGTCGATGATGTTCCTTCCTTGCTACACTCATTCACTACTCTTCACTACTAAGCTCTCAATTCAACAACACTTTCACTATTAATTTCAGATCAACCATGAACAACAACGATAACAACAACATCAACAAAGACACTACCATAGGAATCCTCGATTCCCGCTTCAACCAAACCCTCAGAAATGTTCAAGGGTATGTCTCTTTTCTCCCAATTCCTCTTTAATCATCAGCATTTCAGGAAAATTCATGATCTCCACAACTACACTCCCCGATTCGTTTCTTGATCTTCAATTGTTGATTATTTAAACATTAAGATCAATGATTTTGAATGATTTGTCTCTGATTATTAACCCTAATTTTCATGTAACCAAATTGAATAGCTTTTTCTCAGTGTTGTGAACAATTTGTTTGGTTTAGTCTACAATTGATATGTTCTTTTTTGTCAAGGTTACTCAAAGGTCGTAGTATTCCGGGGAAAATATTATTGAGCCAGAGGGATCCGATCGATAATTCGAGTTTATACTCGCCGACTTACCAGAGGAGTTCGTCGTATAGTGATCCCGGTACAAGTAATCGTGCAATTGAGACAGTAGAGGTGAATTTCGTATTCATATTTTGTGGTTATGTTATGTCATGTTATGTACTGTATCTCTATAAGACTGATTGGTAGCACATCATCAAGTGTGAGTTCTACTATTAACACAGGAGGAAGTTCAAAGTGGAAGCAAACCGTTTGGTAGTACGAGTGATAATAAATCGAAAACATCGACCTTGCATGTAGAGAATCCGCCTGAAGAAGTCCGGAAAACTTCCATGGGTGCCAGAGCTACTGATTCTGCAAGAGTTATGAAGTTCACAAAGGCGCTTTCGGGAACAATGGTTATATTAGGTATAATTTTAAGGTGGTTATTGATTTATATGCACAACAATGGATAGTAAATATATGCTCCTATCACAACAAGAAGCCGTTGCACACTAAAGAAAAGTTTACTAGTTGAGTGTCTTTCATTCTCTTGAATTTTTCCCCAAAGTATTGCTGATTGTCAAGCGGTCAAGCCTCTAACAATTCATGTTGGCTTATGTTGTAAAGCAATTATCTCTCGATACTATTTATTTAGTTTTCCGGTTTTCAAATGGTAAACTGTTATGCAAACCATAATTTTCTTCCTTAACTATCCTGTAGACAAATTGCGTGAATTAGCTTGGAGTGGTGTTCCGGATTATATGCGTCCTACAGTGTGGAGAGTTCTCTTGGTAAGCATGCTATATGATCTTAAAGAAGCACAATAACAATGGATTTTGGAGTTCAGATTATAATTTATTAGGCTATATGTATTCTTGTTATATTTTGGTGATATCTAAACAAATCACTGAGGGTAGGGTGGTTTGCAGAGCTATTCTTTCATGGAGATTTGGTTCTGCTTATATAAAAATTGCTTTAAAATAAGATCATGCAGAGGGTTTTGAAAAATAAAAATGAGGGATTATGGCCCTATAGATAATCATTTTAAACAAATAGGTCAACGCCATGTTTTTCCATGGATAATTTCTTTTCTTCTTGAAATTTAAAGATGAACTGACAACAGGGATATGCACCAACTAATTCAGATAGAAGGGAGGGAGTTTTGAGAAGGAAGCGGCTTGAGTATCTTGATTGTGTTTCTCAGTATTATGATATTCCTGATACAGAGCGATCAGATGATGAGATCAGCATGCTTCGCCAGGTATCTTGATTATGCACATGCCACTCTTGATTGTGTACAAAAATATATTCTTTTCTTTTTAATGTTTTTTTAACGTGTTTTTAGATTGGCGTTGATTGTCCAAGAACTGTACCTGATGTTTTATTCTTCCAACAACCTCAAGTTCAGAAATCACTGGAGCGTATTCTTTACGCATGGTATATTACAGATAACCTGTTTTTTGGTCATGCTATTATTTTCATGCCAGTGTTCTTTGTTGTAGATTTTTTTTCTGAGGTCAAAAGATGGCTTTTTTGCTTGCAAAATGTAAGTTTTTATCATCAAAGTTATTTTACATGATTTCATCATCTTCTGCCAGGGCCATTCGGCATCCAGCAAGTGGATATGTTCAGGGGATAAATGACCTTGTCACGCCATTTTTTGTTGTTTTCCTATCTGAATACTTAGAAGGGAGCATAGATAATTGGACAATGTCCGATTTATCTTCAGATAAAATCTCTAATGTAGAGGCTGATTGCTATTGGTGCTTGTCAAAATTGCTTGATGGTATGCAAGACCATTACACATTTGCTCAACCGGGAATTCAAAGGCTTGTCTTTAAGTTGAAGGAATTGGTCAGGAGGATTGATGGTAACCTTTTTTTCAGGCCTATTGGTTTTTCTTCATGTATGAACTTAATTACCCTATTTATGCTTCGGGATTGAGATTAGGATCTGCATTTGTTTTACCAAACCAACTAATTTTTTGTTTGTTATTTCTACACGATTATACGATGTATTACTATTTGTACATGTCTGTATACAATCTGATACTGAAACTTTGAGTTGCACCAGATCCTGTTTCAAGCCATATGGAGAATCAGGGACTGGAATTTCTTCAATTTGCTTTCCGCTGGTTCAACTGTCTTCTAATCCGCGAGGTTTGCTCTGATTTTTTTTCCTTACAAGTTTAATAAATTTCTACAGAAGAACAACTCTATAATTAATAAAGGGACTGCATATTAAGTTTCAAGGGATAATGGACTGAATAAAATTGACACAACTTTGGTGCTTTTTAAGTCTGATGTCTGATTCATGTTTTCAGATACCCTTCCAACTTGTCACGCGCCTTTGGGACACATATCTAGCCGAAGGAGATGCCTTACCTGACTTCCTTGTGTATATATTTGCAAGTTTTCTTCTTACGGTGAGTCTGTGTAACAAGATGATGCTTCTGTATAATATTTCTTTTAGCAAACGTTCTCTAATCTCTATCGTTGTTTTTTCAGTGGTCAGACGAAATTCAGAAGCTTGATTTTCAAGAGTTGGTAATGTTCCTTCAACATCTTCCAACTCAGAACTGGACTGAGCAGGAGCTGGAGATGGTACTCTCTCGAGCGTTTATGTGGCACAGCATGTTCAACAACTCTCCTAGCCATTTTGCTACCTAAAGTCAATTCTGAATTTCTGTATTTAGTTTTTCTATTTTCAGTCTTTTTCTCATTCCATTAGACTCTTTCCCCCTTTGGCGTGTGATGCTTGTTTCTTATAGATGAACTATATTTTTCTAAAACCAATTTTACATTTGTTTTGCAATGTAATATCTTGTAAAGGAAAGTAAAAATAAACTTGAGATAGAAGCTATTATTTTTTCATGTCTAGCAATGTCAATCAGAATAATCAACAATATTGGATAGTGGCTGGGAGTGACCAATCTCAAAAGTGAGATATCTAATAGCGGGGTGAGATAAAATGAAAACTGATTGCAGTAAAATTAAAATGAAGAAAATAAAAACAGATGAAATACAAACAAAGTGCAGTAAAACATGGTGGAGAGAGGAAGAAACAGAGTTGAAGGGGGAAAAACCAAATGAAGAGGGAGGCGATGGGGATGACAGCTGCAATGACTGCAGAGAAAGAGAGGGAGGAAGTTGAAGCAATGTTAGGGCTCATATTCAAGCGAAAAAACTGAAAATTACCCTTTAAACAGATTAAATTTAAAGAGTAATTTCAATCCATCCAATGGCACCCAAACGCTTAACTGCGCCGCTAGGCCTTTTTGGTCGCGGCCGACCACCACTATAGACTATTCTGATGGTTGTCAATTATACTGGTGATTTGGAGAGTCTCGAATGCATAGGCATTTTCTTTGTAAGTGCAAAACTTTTATTCTTAATGCTACTAGCTAAAAGTCATTACTTTCACAACGATGCAAGAGCATATCATAAACAGAATAACTAAGCTGCAGCAGCCTTCCTCCTTGTTATAATTGTTTAAATCAAAAATACAAATGATGCAAGAACACAACTATATAGCTTGGTTATCTTAACAATGTCAAAACCATTACACTAGCATCTCTTCAACTATATAGCTTGGTTATCTTAACAATGTCAAAACCATTACACTAGCATCTCTTCAATAAAACAAATACAAATGATCTCATCAACATTGCAAGAATACAACTATATAGCTTGGCTATCCGAACAATGCCAAAACCATTACAGTAGCATATGTTCAATAAAACCAGTACAGTAGAATCCCATTACGCAACCAGATTGACACGTCTCTTTTTTGCCTGAAACAAACAGAAAATCACATATAAGTAAAAACAGAGAAAGAGAAAACAATAGTTGCAATCACATAAGCATTGAATTTGAAACCTCACATGATTCTGGACTTTCTGAACAAATTTATCAGGTGCATTAACATAGTCAAAACTCTCTTTTTTCAAACTTTCAACAAGCTCATTTTCCCCCTTCTTCATTAAACTCCTAATCAATATCGTAAACGTCAATTCATCCGGCAAACACCCCGAACCCGAACCCAAACCCTTCATGTATCCATAAACCTCCATCGCCTTCTCTGTATTACCAACTTGCAAATAAACCCCAATCATCTCATTAAACAACCTCGTATCCGGCTTCAACCCCTTCTCCACCCCCTTCTCCACCACCCGATCAAACATCTCTTCTGCCATCTCAACCATCTTATTCTTTCCCAATAACAGTATCATGTCAGAATACAACGGCAATGTATCATATCCAGCTTCCTCATCACCAATAATAAACTCGAAAACCTAAACTTTATGAAGTATCGCGACACACAACCAATTAGATTCAGATACGAAAACATCCATAAATATTGTTCTCACCATAAATTTGAATACAATTGTGCAGTAGAAAATAATTTTAACCCGCACGTAAACTAAAATTAACTTTAATTTGAATAATAATCACTTATCCTATAAGTGCTTAATCAAAAAGTTGTTCTGTTACCTTGAGAGATAAATGGAGTTGGTTTTGTCTTTGCAATTCAGCCAAAACGTCAAACACATCAGCCTTCAAGAGTCGGAGGAGTTTTGACTTGAGAACTTGGTTGATTTTATCGTCGGAATTTTTGGCGAGTTTGAGAGCGTGAATTACGTTAACGCTTTCTTTTGAAATTACCATTGACGCTGGCTTTCTGTTTTGGTATGAACGGAGACCGCAAACTACCGTTGTTGATTTGCTTCTTCTTCGGTTGTTAAGGAAATTATGATAATAATCGATTCTGTTGTTGTTGCGGCTTGAAATTGGAGTTGGGAAAAGCACTGTTGTTCCGAATATTGATCCGCTTGCTCTTAGTATCATCTTGGAAGATGCAGGAAGAGAAAAGAAGATAGAGGTTAGGGGAAATTTTCGGGAGAGGATTGAAGGAGGAGAAGGTGGAGAGCCATGAAAATGGTGATTCGGGGAAAATTTTGAACAGTGGTTCAGTTCTTTTTCTTCCGAACTTCGGCAATATCCACTTGTAGAAATTGAACTAAAATTTGGGTTACAACTTATCATAGTATCCTTGGCAACTTTAAAATCATTATTTTAAATTCACGTAAAACTTAGTATTTTACAAATTTTTCTTGGCGAGACAGGAAATCTTGAAGTTCACATTGGTAATTGTAAGAATCTTTTTACCTTTCATATTTTTTTTATGGGAAATATTAAAACTCATGTATTTATACCGTAAGTTTTAAAGATGTCGTCGGTATTAATGTATGAGTTTTTATTGAGGATTTTAACATTGTCAGTATTTACTCATGCATTTATGTTGACGGCCGTGATGACATGTGCTATAGCAGAAGAGGTAGAGTCTTCCTAGTTACAGGTGGGGAGAGTAGCTCCAACTGTTGAAAACGGGTTGGCTACACAGTTTTTCTGCATACTCCGTATTAATGACCACCGAGGTGTTAGAGGTGACAAGCAACCCACAGATGATGCAGATGAGCAGGTTGATGAGGTTGTTCATGCTGAGGTGGTGCAGGGGCAAGTTGTTATTGACCCAACTGTGGTGGACGAGACAAATACGACCTCTATTATTGTTGGCACCGAGACAAATACTGTTGAAATCGAGACATGTGTGGCCCATATTATTGTTGAGGTCGAGACAGATGCGACCTCTATTACTACTCCTCCTTTGACGGAGCCATATGTGCACATTGAAAGAGAGTTTTCTAGAGGGTGCTCATTGCTTATAGGAGATGCCGACCATGTGGCATACCAATTATGGCAGTGCGAGGTATATATTTTTTGTATAAATTTAATTTATTTGTTATTGATACTTGATTCGTTGAAACTAACTGATGATTTTTTTAAACTTTCTTTGTTATAGGATTGTCCACGCTGAAGGTGACATCCCACGAGTCAAAGATGAAGAGGTTTTCAAATGTCTGATCAGGTCAGGCATATTGTTGATGATTATGGTCTCCTATCATTGACCGACTGCTCCCTAACCATGCTTGACGCTTCACTCATGATTGTCTTTGTTGAGTGATGACATAAGATGACTATCACTTTGGATGATGTCTCCTCCCTATTTTATCTCCTCATCTTCTGATAGATTCTTCAAAGACGTGGAGAGGAAAAGACTAGTTCTTCGTTGAATCATAGAGGAGGAATTTATCCTCCTTGAATCCCTATCTGAGTTTGTTGTAGTGGGGCACATCATCTTCCACATCTACTAAATAAGTGGATAATTGAAATTAGTCCAAACAAATGAAGCCCCATTGGGCAGCTTGTTGTGGGAATACAAGCGGCCTCATAGCCCATTCCGTGCGACCTATAACTTTGCAAAACAACTCGCCCCCTTGCTAGCATTTTTTACCTTCCGTATATTTTTGTGGATTATCCTCTCTTAGGGTCCAATAAAATTATAACAATATAATATTTATAAACTACTATATAAACTTTCTAATGGAAATATGTCTGCCTAAATTGGTTGTCGTTTGACATTTAAATTAAATGTTTAATATCTTTTTTGGTCATGTATGTTAACCTCTGTCGCTACGCGAAAAATGACACAGAGTCGCCACCGGATTTTATTTATCCCACGGGGGAAAGGGAAATAGCGATAAAACCTTTGGGAAAAGAGCGTGGTCATCGCAACCAAGTCTTAGGGTTCGGGAGTCGGTTATGCGAGGGGAAGGTATTAGCACCCCCTCGCATCCATCGTACTCGATGGGAACCTCCTAGGTTATTTCGCGTGAATGGGTGTTTTATTCTAAAAGTTTGCTTGTTTAAGGAAAAGAGGGATTGGTTTATTTATTTTAATGCTCGCCAAGGATTGTGGCCCTTGTGCCTCCGTATCCTCACTTAAAAGAAGTGAAGAATCAGAGCTCCGTAATCCGGAGGCTTTATGAAATTGTTGTTTGTTGGTTGATTTTATACCTTGAAAAAGGTTTTTTTGGATTGACGCCCTAAGGCAAAAATAGTTTGATGAGTTGATGTTGTTTTTAGTTTTTTTGTGTGAAGAAAATGTGTTCTTGACTAGGATTATACAAAAGACTTTGGATAGAGATGAATGTCTCGAATAACCAAGTCGAGCGCCTTGTATTTGAAACATTCGGAATGAGTGTAGGAGGGTTCCATTCTCATTCCTTCTCCACCACTTTAAAGTTCATGGTGCATAATTCCAATCATATATTTTATTGTGTTTTTTTTTTGTATTTTTATGCGAAAAGAGAAACACTTGACGTTGGATCAAGATTTATTGCTTGTAAAGATATTTGAAGTGATGCGATTTAGGTCGATGGCGGTGCACAAGGCATCCGACTTACATGGTCAAAAATGGCTCGATAAAATCGAGAGTTTACTTCTAAAAATAGTTTTTGGAAACAAAGGTCAACAAGGGCCATAACAATATTCACATACAAATATCATACAAACATAAGCCACACGGCTCAAAAAAATCGAGACACACAAAAAAAACGGCGAACTCTTTGAAAATTTTTTTTTAAGGTAAAAACGGTAAAAACAAAAATATGGAGGAAACAGTGGTGTGACACGGGTGAAAAAAAGTTGAAACAGTGATGCAACACGGCCGACCGTGTTGTATGATACGGCCCGTGTTGCAAGGCCTGGGGAAAAAACTTCATACAGTAGCGTGACACGGTCGGCCGTGTCGTGTGACACGGCCCGTGTTGCTGGTCCAGGTCGAAATCTCACATTTTTTTTATGTTTTCGTTTCGTTTTTGTGGTTCCTTGAGGATGGTTTCTTAGTCCCTTAGGGGACCTTACATGATATACAGTTCAACAACACATAAAAGAGTGAATGAAATGAATATAAAAGCAAAGAATAAAAGGAGAAAGATTTGAAGAAATGGATACCAAGTGCTTTCTATCCTTCTTGCAAGTACTCCAATGACCTTTGTTGGATGTGCTCTCCCCTCTTCACTTTATGTTGTGAAGGTTTGGTTTCTCAATGATCCTCTTGTGTCTCTATCTCACTCTCTTTTTTTCTGTTTTTTTGAGGGTTTCTTGCTAACTATTTTCTGGTTTTTTGCTCTTACTCTTTGCTCTCTATGTGTAGTCTCTACTCTCCTTGCTTCTTGTGTTGTGTTCTGTTTTGATAGTAAGGAATACTATGTTTTCTATGCTTGCTTGCAGCCCATTTTCCACCTTTTCTGTCACATTTTTCTGCTGTCCTAAAGCCACACACTTTGCACACCTTTTCATCACCAACTTTCCATTCTTGGCAATGCCTTTTTCTTCCTTTTGTGCAACCCCACTTTTCCCTTCTATTTCTAGTATGACTTGCTGCATTTTTCTGCTGTAGCATACTATACTACTATCCCTCTTTTTGCCCATTAGTCTCTTGGATGGTATTGCTTTGTATCTTGCCATGTAGCCAATTGTTACCACTTTTTGACAGCATTTGCAAACTGATATTTAGCAAGTAAATATATCATTTGCATGCTATTTCCTTGACTTTGTGACATAAAAATGATCTTGTAACATAGTACATGTTGTCCTCTTGATTTTGTGACATGTAGTAATTCTTCAACTCTTGCATGGGGCTGTTTTGCCTATGATTGAACATGCATAATCTTGGCCCATAAACATTCCAATGTTGATTTAATTCTTGCATATTTCTTGGATGTTTGTGAGCATAATGTAGCACATGAAAAAAATGGTGTAGTATGAAGAGTACCATATCATAGATTTGATTAAAGACTTGAATGAAGATTTAGAAATAGATTAATTTCTAAACATTATCTAGAGTTGGAATTTTTGTAACAAATGACATGATTGTAATGTCACAAAATTCCTCTTAGTATTATTTTTATCTCCATTCATGAATCTTGAATTTTGGATGATGGATTCCCTCATGTGCTTAAAAATGAAATCTTGAATTATGCATTGATGATCTTGATTCATGCCTTAATAATTTGCACTCCACTTATGCCATAAAAATAAACATGTATGAAGGAGCTTTGGATTTGGCCTAGCATTCATGTCTATTAATATTTATCTTGAATATCCTTGTATTTTGTCAAGTAACTTCCCCTTGCCAAAATTTTCATGAGTAGACTTTTTCCTTAGATCAAACCTTAGGTGATGAACCTTTTTTCATGTAGTCCGAAAATAGACAAGTTACAACCAAATGGCCTAGTTCGTACCTTGTGAACCCGCATGCTCGATACGCAATAAAATGATGTATGATATGCCGAATGTAGGGTATAAAAGACTAACGGTGAAAATGAGGGTGTGACAACCTCACGATTCATTTTTGCCCCTTAACTTAAAATATGTTCATATTGATTCCTTAACTCCTCAAAACATATCATGTTAGTCATTTTCTTTGTATTAGCAATGAATTTAGCGATTGATTTCTGAATTTTTTCGTCACTAATTAGACGAAAAGGATTAAAATGATACAATTTGAAGAGTTAATGGGTTAATATGAATATTTTTTAAGTTAAAGGACCAAAATGAAACCCCATATTAATATATAGAACCAAAATGAATATTAAGTCTAAATTAAATTGTCAAAGTTGAAGTGTTTTTTTTAATGAAAGATTATTATTCATATGAGTTAAAATTTATGTAGCAAGAGTTGTAGGCATTGGTTTTAAATTAAAACAAATGTGTTTTAAAGATAAATTATATGGTTGTGTGATTGAAAATTTTGTATATACATATTATTTTTACGATTTTATAATGATTGTATAAATTTCATGAAGGAAAGAAAAGGTATCACATAAATATGTATGTGTATATGATTGAATATGAGCGATATTACTCTATATTACCATTTATTTAATAGGTGATTGGGGTTTATATCACAATATAAATCCAAAATGTATTGAGAACTATGATAATTGGGATATCAATTATCATCAATGAGATATGGTTCTAGTATATTAGATAATTAGATTTTTTTTATTGTTTGTTTCATGATTCTAATCATATTGTTTTCAGTGTTAACTATTTATGAACATGTTTATGGCACTTTTCTAGTTATCACCCATTGTATTATGTTATTATAACTCTTGAAATTATGTATTTGAGTTATATCTACAAGTAGGGGTGAAAATAGAATGAGTCGTGCTAGATTTTGCTAAATCTAAGTCTAGTTTGCGAAAAATATAAAAGCTTAAATCTGGTATATAGTCTATCATAAACTTATTTTTAAGTATGAATATGACTTTTTCGAATGTCTAATTAGCTTGCTAGCATACCTAAAAACCTATTTCATTTAAACATATATAAATAAATAATTCAATTAATGTTTATATATATTAAAAAACTAAACGACCACTAATACTAAATGTTTGACATGAAAATTCACTTCGTCTACGAAAAAGTAGTCTGTGGTCAAATTCATGTCCTTCATATCACTCTACATCGCCAAATTGCAGATAATTTCGCAAATGTTAAATACATTTTTTAGTCTCTTATCTTTACCTCAATATCTATTTTAGCCTCTTGAATTTTAAAAAGACTAATATAGTCTCTTATTTCTTCAAATATTGTCATTTAAGTCATTTATATCTAATTTTCGCAAATAACACTTATTTTTTCACGCTTCGACGTGACATATAATCATACGTGTGAGCATTCGATTTGACATTTATTTATCACTAAGGTTATCAAAAAATTTCTTCGATCTGAATTCTACCCAAGACACCTTAATTGTTAATCGAGATGGTATATCACTAGGCCAATTCATTGTTGATGATATAATATACATTTAGTTTCATTATCAAGTTACACCCATGAAATTAAAGCTCTGTCATTCCTTGATGATGCACACCCACAATGTAAGCTAATATCTGTACGAACCCCGACCACAGTTAAACAAAAATAAAGGCAGAAATGAGTTTTAAAAATCCTGCAATGCTTTGTTTAACTTAATATCAAAAAGAGAAATCAAGTAAAAATGTAAGCTCTTTCATTTTAAAATTCATACATGAGTCCACTTAATCAACTTAATTGAAACGGAAAAAAAAACAACAAAGAATATCTCCAAAATCTTTCTCAGAAATAATCTCGAGACATCTTTCAACTAATGTTGCATCATACAATAGAATACATTTTATTTTTAATAATATAAGTATTAAATTTTATGCATATTTATTAGAATAAGAGTTTTATTTGAATAATGTGCAATTTTTTAATATATAATTTAAATGATAAAATTAATATTATTTATTAAAATAACATTATTAATTATAACCAGTAGAATAGTTAAAAAGAGTAAAAATTAAATAAGAGTATAATAGTAAAACATTAATATCGTAAAGAGAAATTTATTTTGCACCACAAGAAATGAAGCACTTTATAAGGATGAGAGAGTAAAATTAATCAATAATTATGAGCCTTCAATAATACTAATCAGTAGCATAATCATAAAATAATAATAATAATAATAGTGATAATCCGATTGAGTTGAAATCCAGGAGAGAAAGATGGGATTATCAGCGTCAAAGCGAGTGAGCAACAGTTTACAGAACTCGACTCAATTTGACTCAGCATGCGACTCAGTCTTCTCCCAATGTCTTTCTCTTACACAACACACTTTCCAAGGAGTCTTACCTTACCAGCTCAAAACCGCTTCCGATCAAATCCACACAATCCTCTCCGATTCGCACTATCCACTCATCCACAAATGGCTCCCATCCCCTCCCGATCGCACTCAAGTTGACTCCGCCCTTCGCCACGTCCTACCGCCCGATCACGACGGCAACAACGTCCTCCCACTCCCACTCTTCAAGGAATGGGCTCGCTACCTCTACACCGACGCTGTCTTGTCCTCCGCCACCAAAGCGCTTCTCCTACGAGTTCCTGTTGGTGTCGCCGGAATCGTTGGAATCAGTGCCGTCGCTCACCCTGGTCCGGCACTACTAGGAACATTCGTTGGAGCCTACTCGCTCGGTGTTGCTCTCTCTATTTTTCTAGGTTTATCCGCATGATTAAATTCTAATTCTAGTGCTGTATTTTTTAATATATTGCTTTTTTTAGTAATGTATAGGGTTAAGGATTGAGAAAAATGTTATAATAAATCATAGTATTAAACGGATTATTGATTTAAAAATTAACAAATTTCATTTATTCAATACTGATTGGATATATGCATTGTAATGCTGTATTGATTGAGTATGTAACAGAGTGAGAGTTGCATGCAAAAGCTCTTGGTGTGGTGTGGTGATGATCTTGAAGGGAAGGTAGGTAGGTTTGTTCTGCTTTTCATCCATGTACAGGCATTTTAATCTTTAAGTATTAGTAATCATATGTTTACTTATTGAGTGATGATGATGATGATGATTAGTGGTTTTTCTATAAATTTTAAGATAATTTAGAATTTGAAGATATTTTGGATGCATCATCCTCTATGTGATGTATTGCATAAGAATAGGTGAATTTGGAGTTGCAAATGTTGCATAACTCTTTCTTTCTTTCTGGAGTTCATTTATGGAATGGACCAAATGTTGCATATCCTATATGGTAATTTTGCTATGCATAGCCGGTCCCATGCCGGATAAAAGGAGAGGGTTGTGTTAGGCAGTTGGCAAACAACGTAAAAATTTGTCAAATCTCTATGGCATGGATCAACTACAAAATAATGTAAATGGTAGGTCGTTAGAAGCATGGTCATAAATAGAATATTATGGCGAAAGTTGATCCATGTAGCCGACCCCACTTAGTGAGATAAAGCTGGGTGTTATTGTTGTAGTCTGGTTGCATTGCTAGTAGAGAGTAGAGAACATATCGGGCATCGTCCTTCTAATTCGAAGAAAAAAACTTGATAGAAACATGGTATTTTATTTGACAGAGAAAGTAACAAACCCTAAAAAAACTTGATAGAAACATGGTATTTTATTTGACAGATAAAGTAACAAACCCTAAAAAAACTCTTTTAGTGTTTGCTACTTTCGGTGAAATACACCAAAACTCATCCTCCATATCTTGTTCATGATATTGCCCTATGTTTGACTATGAATAAATTTTGAGTTCTGACTAATCAAAGTGGGGTTTCTCCTAACATATATGTATAGGATCTCAAAGTCAAAAGGTATGTATCAATTGGGAAATAGTTGCCTAATTAAATTGGGAAAGAGTTGCCTAATTAAGGCACAAAATGAAATTTTGTGGTAATTTCCTTGTAATTTTTTCCTTTCCATATCTTGCGACCAGATGTCAAAGTCAAATCATTCAGCAACATCACAAGCAGAAAACAAGCTTCTAGATGTTGGAATAATCAAGGCTGTTAAAATAATGTCAATATACTTATTAAATTATGGTGCAGATTGTGGGGTCAACCTAACTTTTTATTCTTGGATTATGTCATGCCATTACTCTTCCTTCTTTCTACATTCTGAAAATGAGAAGTTAAGTGGAGCCAGTTCCGCCAATGAATTGAACTATACATGTTATGCTAGACATTCAGTGTTTAGTTGTTTGCTCTGAGCAGAAATGGCAGACTCCTCCTGGTAGAAGAAGCACTTCTGGCACAGATACTGGAATCCTATTCAAGATGCTGCGATTGAGATGGAACTTGATCAATGGAGGCCAAAAGCATGGTAATTTTGATTATATTTTCTCTGTTTCTTCGCGCACCATGCTTGAATTTTGTTATTTTGTATAACACTGTCGTTTGGTATTAGCTAGGCTTTTTTTTAGTTAAGATTGTAGAATTGTCATCCAAATTATACTTAATATTTCCCCCTTCTGTTTGTTTATATGTTGAGAATCCAATTCTAATTATAAGACCTAAGGAACCCATGATTTTCATTTAGAAATATATTGAACTCTCACGTATATTCTGAAAAGCAATAACAATAATCAAATTAATATATGGTATCATTTTAATATATTGTAAAAGGGGAAATTGAATTGTGTATACATGGTATCATTTATTCATACTGCGTATAGAATCATCAAATCAAATCAAATACTGTACTATATAATCTATATGTGTTGTATTGCCACCTAGCTTAGCAAGTAAGATTATCACCAGGAGCAACACCCAATTTACTACAATATTGAGTGTAGTAATCAACACGAGCCTTAACCGTGTTGGGGTTTGCACCATCACATTCAAGTCGTCCATTAATGGCTCTAATGGTTGCACCAAAGCCCTGGTTAACAACACGGTGAACATTTTTCATCCAATACCATAATGCTGTCTTGAAGGACACTGTAGGATCATTAGCCACTGTTTCAGGAGAGTTCAATCCATCAAAACCGTTGTCCTTTCCGGCTGGTCCGTAGTTGTAGTTCCAAGACAATTGAATCGGTCCGCGACCGTAGTATCCTTTGTTAGGGACACACGGGTACTCTGTGTTGTTTTCATCACAGTAGTCCTTTGATGCACCATCAATCTCTTCTATATAGCAAAAATCTGCATCAACATTTCACATGTTATGTGTATTGTTCAGAACCATTACTCAAGAAAAAAGAGATTATGTGATTATGATTAAGATTTAAGAAACATGAAATTTATTGAATACTTACGTCCAGTTTCGTGTGTGAAATGTGCAAAAGCAGCTGCAACCTCACGTTTGGAGTCATCGGAAGAACCAGCCCTACCAAACTGATTGTAAGAATTGAGTGCGTCAAGAAAAGCAGCTCTTGAGTAGAAGCTCTTTCCTGCACAACTAGAATCAGCTTGATCAATTATACTATTGAAAAACTCTGGTGTGACAATGTCGGCAACATTAACATCATTGCTAGTAGTAGGAGTACTAGGTGGAATATTTCCTCCTTTACAAGGACCCTCTTGGCACCCTGTGCCACAATATGCATCAGTGTCTCCACAATAACCATATTGGCTGCAACACAATCCTTCAGCACACCCACAATTTTGAGCACTCACATTTTTTGGTACTATAATCATAATAAAAAAGACAATAGCAAGTGTTGCTATTGACATGTTTAATGACTTGTTTTCCATCATATTCATATCTTGAGTTTGAGAGGTATTGGAGTGAATATAAGTGTTATGTAACCAGCTGGTGGAGGGCTGTGTATTTATATTGATGGCTAGGTGTTGTGGTTGAGAATTTGTAATGACGAATGCTACGTACAAATTAGTTATGTGGTTGACGTTTGAGGTTGAACATTTCAAAGATTGAAATTTCAATTTTTTTCTAGAAAGCATGTGTGTTGGTTAGTGGATGGACTTTTAGTTTTACTTGCGGAAGAGTCAACACGGTTGTGTTTATTAAAATGATCAAACTTTACGGTTTCTCCTCCATTATGTCTATCAATCTAAAGTCAAACATTTTGCAATCTAAAGTCCTACATTTTGCACCAACGGTCTCTTCTTTCATTTGTAATTAGAGGAATGTTATCAAACACATTTATAACACTCGTTTATCATTAATAAAATAATAAAATTCACATGCATCTCACTAAATGAGTTTCATATAAATTTAATGAGATTTATGAAATTTTTTTATCAATTAAATAGAGAAAGGATTATTGCATCCCCACTGAATGTAATGATAAATAAATAAGGGTTTCTACAATTTAGTGAACGAGTGTATGTGTAAAGAAGGTAATTTGTGAAATTCGTTTTAGAATGCGAAATATAGACACACTTGTAGAAAAATCAGTGTGTGTGTAAAGAAGGTAGTTTGTGAGAGTGAAATTCGTTTTGGAATCCGAAATATAGACACAAAATCACTGGAAATATTAGGCGTTGTGGTTAGGAGGTTGATAAATTTTATCTACCTATGAGAAATTAAGTGGAAGAGTGAAAGAGAAAATAATTGGATAACTTAGGGTTTAAGCTTTGCTACGACGAAAAATTGAAATTAAAAAACAGGGTGAAAGTTATTATAGACCATGAGTGGAAGAATGTCGTGGATGTAAAAAAGATAAGAGATCGATCATGACTCTGAAATCAATAGCCGAACAAGACATATTTAATGTTATTAGTGTTTACGTACCTCATGTTGGGTTAGAAGGACATCTTAATATAATGGAATAAGAAGATTTAGTTCACGATATACTTTAAGGAGACACATTTTTCTTGAAGGGGGGGGGGGGGGGGGGGGGGGGGGGGGCTTAATGGGCATGTAAAGAGCGTATCGAGAGGCTTTAAGAAGTGCATGCAAATATGGTCTCTGGGAGGTAAATGTAGATGGTAAATTTATATTAGATTTTTTGTTAGCTTTAATCTTTTTAAAGTTAATACATGCTTTAGAAAAGATATGAGCATCTTATTATATTCAAGAGTCGGTAACATGTTCTCAGATGTATTTATTCCTTATTATGAAATCAAATAAGAAGATTTATTTGGACAGTACAATTATACTAAGAGAGAGATTGACTATCCAACATAGAGTACTAATTATTGACGTAAGAGTCAAGAGGAGAATGGAGAGAAGAAGGCAGCAGGGGGTTCCACAGATTAAATGGTGGCATTTGAAGGATGAAAAGCACCAACATAATATCCATTATAGGCCAGGAATATCTCACTAAATTCGACCATATCTCTGTTGGTCTGGTAACCCTGAGATGGGGTAAACCAGGTTTGAAAGTACCGGTCAATCACTCAATCGACTGCTAGAATATTCTCCTGACCACTAGAACATCATGTACCTAACTATAGGAGACCCATGCCCTAAGCATATCTAACGGTCTTTCGCTTTTTGCGCTTGCAAAATAGCGAGACAATTATTTCTCATCCCTATATATATAAGATGACGTCATTTCAGGTAACAAGATTCAAACACAATTTGAATACTCTTTCATTATTCGCATACTAAATTGAGCTTCAGAGTGTTAACCTTGCAAGTACACCTCTGTTCTGACGTATCAAAAGCTCTCCTCTGTCGTAGCTTCCGCAACTCCTCATACTTTTGGTTCCGAAAAAGAACAATGACGTCGTTTGTAGGAAATAACTCCTAATTTTGGCATATTCTACAATTCTCCATCTTTACACATAGTGTTGAATTCTCTTCAAACTCTAAACAGGAGATCCAGCGAATCAAAGACGAAATTCAATCACATTCGATTGAATCAAATTCAACATCATAAAGACGCATTGATTCTCCTAATCTTTGGTTATCAATACTTCTAACTTCGTCGATCCGAAGAAATGGTTGAATCTAGAGTTACTTGTTCCACCATCACATGTGAAGCCGCTTTAGCGGCTGCAACTACAACATCGAGATCCGTCAGTCGACGGAACATAACTCTTCCTCCCGTCGAAACGAACTTCGGTCTCAATTCTCTTATGAAACCAGATTGAGTCATTCCTTCACCGAGAGCAAAACCATCCAAACTTCGCCTCCGAGGGTTCCGACTTTGCTTCCTATGGAACTTTTTGGGATCTCACACGGTCTTGAAATTCTCGAGGAAAATCTTGGCTCTCAATGTGCAAACGAGTTAATTAACTGTATTTACAATATCATTCAGCAACAAAACTCAAAAGCAGCAGAAGAAAGGTTCTTTCATTTAGAAGAAAGCATCCATAATGCTCAGCCTTGGGCGAATTCAATGCAATAGGCCATATCAAGAAGAAATTGCTCTGCACGGTCGGAGTCGTCTACAACTGTTACCTTATATTGTCGACACACATTAATTGCAGAGTTGAAACAAGGATCATACAAGATTTTTTGAGAAAATTCAAAATAGTAGGCTGTGTACAAATTGGTTCTTATGGATTCAATTTTTTGAAAGGTGTATTTAATTCTGGTCGAATGTTACAGTAGGTAAGAGACAAAAGGGGTTTGTCGAGTTTTAAGTCTTAGTGAAATTCAGAGTCTTCAGTGTTTTTATATGTAGTCAAATGAGATTATCATACCCTAATTTTTACCCTAAGATACCCACATCATTTTCATCTCATACATACACTTTTATGCATTAATAACCCATTTTTAGAAAGTCAAGATTGTTGTTTGCTTCATTATGATCACCAATTAGGGTTTTTAAATCCTGCAGAAGATTCAGGCAAAGGATCAATCAAGAATTGGCATGATCTTCAACTTATCAAGTCCCTAAATCATCCATGGAGATAAAGATATCCCATTCACCAAGAATCAAGAACAAGATTACATCATTTCAAGTTGGTCAAGCCTCAAGATCATCAGCATCACCAAATTTGGGTTTTGACCTAATCCAATTCCAAGGATGACTTATGGAGCAAGGCATGATCCAAGACCTCAGTATGTGTTTCAAGGACCTCAAATAAATCATATTAGTTCATTCACATGATTGGATTGAGCCAGAGAACTTCATTCATAAACAACGCAAGAATTCAAACCCATCTGAGCCACAAACTAGGGTTTTGATGAAAAGTCAACCATATCTTTGACTTTTGAGCAAGACATGATCTTCAACTTTGGGGCATGATTCAAGAAACTCAAGTATACCCTTGAATTCCATTCATAAGTTTAAAATCACCTTGGGGTATTCATTCATAAAAAATTAGGAATTAGGGTTTCCCTACACAAAATTAATCTAATACACAAAGTTAAAGTTTGACTTTTTGAGCAAAAATGTTCATCATAAGCCATTATACAAGAAAATATGATCCATTGTTACATTTGGACAAGGATTGATCGAGAAATCAAGGTTACTTGCAAAAGGGGCAAAGTTGAAGAAATTGAAAATTTCACTAAGTTATGGAAAAACTTGATTTTTACCTAACTTTACAAGACCATAACTTGTGATCCAAGCAACCATTTTTTTGCATTCCAAAGCTCAAATGATAGATCTCATCACATACAACAAGATTGCTAGGCTGAACCATATCCAAAAACTTCATGGATTTCAAGTTATGAAGTGATCAAAATAAAAAAAAAATAAGAAATGAATTTCCATACTTAGGCAAATTCTGCCTAAGGTAAGATCAGCCAAAACATCAAAATGTGGAGGGATTTTTCACCATGATCCAAGATGAATCAAGTCCAACTGTGAACACCAAAGTTGAAGTTCATAATCCCAGCTTTCCAAAGAGCCCAAGAGCATGAGAAAACTCCGCTTGAGCAAAGAACTATGAAGGTTGCAAGACACCTTGCTGCGACTATTTTGCCAAGATCAGATTGGTCATTTCTTAAGGTACACGACTGTTTTGTCAATTGCAATGATCATGTTGCTAAGCTAATTCAATGTGATCAAGTTGAGTCATAACAAACCTGCAGAAATAGGCCAAAGGGTAAAAAGATATCTCAAATTGGATTAATGGATTTTGTCACATTATGCCTTGAATTCAAAGGCATTTATGTGCAATAGTGCACATTCAACAGAGGTACTCTTTTCAGTCAAGATGCTCACATAAACAACAATAAAAATGACTGAGGAATGTGGAATTGGTCAATTGGTAGTTATGCTATTTGGAGGAGCTATTGTACCTTGCATAAGAAGTAATGGCACAAGTTCAAAACCATTGAACCAAGATCTTATCCTTCAAGCTGCAACTATTCATCTAAGACAAATACACTTACCTATAAATAGAGGTCACATTGCCTCACCTAGACATACCAAAACAACTTCAATCCTTGTTTTCTGAAAAATCAGTTTTGTTCCAAGTTTCAAACTTTCAAGTGGGAGAAATCGAATTTCTCAAACCAAAGCAATTCCACCCAAACCAATGATCCAAACACCTCACATACATCATATGTAAGTGGTCCAAACACTTAAACATCATATGTAACATCAAATTTATCAAGATTATAATTCATCTCAAACCAGCTGTAGTTGGATTCGAGCCCACCAATCCAGAAGGTTTTCAGCCATTCTAAACACATCAACATATTCCTTGAGGTCTAGGGAAGCTGTCCAGGTCATCATTTCACATCTGTAACACCTACAACTGAGGATTCGATTTCCTCTTGCACAAGTAAGTCTGAACTTCCCAAACTCCATGAATCATGCATCATTTTTGATATTTCAAGTTACCAACATGTTTTTGCACATATATATAATGTTTTCCCTCAATCAAGTGTTATG